ACGAGGTACACGTCCTGCCCCGCGACGGGGAAGAACCCCATCATGGCAAGCGCACTGAAAGCGCCCATTGCACAGTCATCATTGCCAGGGATGCCGTTGATCGTGGCGTTGAACTGCGAAGGAATGTAGCTCCGTGTGGTGCGCGAGCTGAGGCCGGGTCTACCCGCATAATGGAACTGGAACACCGTAAGGAACGCCTGTTCGTTGCCCATGTAGACAATGTTGCCGCTGTGGTAGTATTCGAGCCTGTCGACAAACGCATCCCGACCTCCCATCAGCTTGATCAAAGTTGCCATATCCTGCGGTGCGAAGAACGAGTACAGCCAGGGTGAGCCCTCGTATGTCGCCTGGGCAGTGTCGAAGTAGCAGAGATGCTGTTCGGTATTGGGCGAACAGACACGCGTGTTCTGGTACGTAAACGAGCCATTCATCAACTTCGGCATCAGGAATCCCATATACTTCGTCCTCTCGATCTCCTTCTTGTCCTTGTCTTGGATGATGTCCTCTTGGGCCGGATTCCAGAGGTTCTGCCAGTTTGCGCTGCGCTGCATGTATTTCTCAAAATCTTCTTTGTGGCCGAGTCCCTGGGCCATCTCGGCGATGCAGAAATCGTCGTACGCGTACTCAACGGTCCGAGAAATAGACCTGCTGTGTGGTCCGGTCGATACTTTGTCCATATGATCCTGTGCGATGTATCCCAGACCAAACCAGCTTTGCAGATTGCCGCGGCCTTCGACGCCATAGTGCTGCGGGGCCACTGAGGAATTCATGTTAAAGACTGTTTCGTTGTAGGAATCCTAATCACATACCTTCGGCATCAGAGACCACAGCCTCATATGCGGTCTTCCAGTCAACCCCGTTGGTTATGTTCTTTAAGTATGCGTCTGCGATCACGATATCCGCGTTCGATCCTCCTTGGCTAAACCCCTTGCAAAAAGACATTCTGCAGTCTGGAAGCTTTCCAACAAATCTGAAGATATCTAGCAGTGTTCGTACCATCTGTGTCTGAGCTTCAGGATCTATGATCGTCAGAAGTGGATGCTGTGCTCGGAATGAGTCCCAGATGCAGTAGAACGAGTCAAAGTACGGTTCGGACGACTCCCACAACGGGTTTTCGCCAGTGTAGTTCTGCGGTGACAGCAGACTGCGATATAGACCCGACCAGAAAACAGTCTTCATGTCTTCACTGACGCCTTCCGTGCTAACACCCACCGTTGAGAGCTTTTCAGCCCAAGTCGATTCCGCAGCACGCACGCTACCGTCAAAGTCGAATTTGGGGATATCCCTCTCGGCATTCTCGCAGGCTCTGTTGACAGAGATAAAAGACAGGCCGACTCTGGCGAGGATCTGGTTATTTGTGGGACGCTCAAATTGCAGCCACGCGCCAGCGGCGCCGGTAGGATTGTGAATGCCACGCGTGAACTCGGCTAGATATTTGTCTGTCACGCGCGGGTTGTCTCCCTCGAAGACGCCAGATTTCCGAATAGGGGCGCCCTGGAAGTCGGCGCAGAAAAATGCTCTGTAGCTGCCCTGACCGAAAGAGGGTCTGAAGGTGCCGTCACCAACGACGCGGCCAGACTCGTACACTTGAATGCCTCCGCTCGATCTGCTCTGGGCAATGTCCGTGAGGTCAATGAGAATTAAAGGGCTACTCACGACTTCAACCGTGTTGAGGTCCGCTGCGTTTTCGTAAGATACGGTATCGTTTGGTGAGAAGTTGAAGCGGAAGAGAGTTGTCCGTTCCCCTGCCGTCATCTCGGCGCCAACAGTATTGGAAATATTGACAGCAAAGTAGCCTGGACGGGCCACGACAGAGTTGTTTACGCGCCAGAGGCTTCGTGATTCTGTTGTGAAGTTGCAGGCCATGTAATCATCATTGGGGCATCCAGGATGAGGGAATAGAGGGAAATTGCCTAGAGAAGGTGACTGTTCGAACGTAAGTAAGACGATATAGAGTTGGGCCGATAGAATGAGTAATTCTTACACCTCCGGTTCCTGTTTAGATCAATCAGCATTGTGATCAGATAAACAGATGTTGTGGTGACGTACCAGAGTCATGTAAATGGGAGAAGCCGGTAATTTTGGAGTTGTCAGATACCCAGCCAGCCGCATTCTCGGCTCTGGAGTCCGTGTCTGCACAGGCTTTGGCCATTCCTAGTGGAAATGTCAGAAAAAGTTGTGCGCCGTGATCAAAGATGCCGTATCACTCACCATACGGTAATGATGCACCAGGAAACACATGGCCTGATGTTTCGTCAGATGTATACCAGAGTATATTAGGCAACCCGACTGACCTCCGTTGGTGGTTCCGATTAACGGATTGACGTATCTCAGTACGGCTCGCTGTGCTCTGAAATCGGACTTGGTGCTGATTAGGTTGATGAAGCCTCGTGTTCCGGAGAGAGGCCACCATAGGACCAAACAGATGACAACAGCAGCGAATACCGCCAGTCGAACAGGTCGGGACAGACCGATGGCTGGGACGAGGAGGGCCATCTTGGACTGGAGTCAAAGGTCGCCGTTCGATTAATGACCAGCAGCCACCAGATGCCCTTAAATCAAGAGTTGAAATAGTTGAACAGAACTTCTGCCCATCAGAATGCCTCCAGGGCCGGACGAAGACTAGCTCGCCGAAGTGATTGATCTGCTTATGGGGTCATGGGGATGTGACCTCAACAAAAATCTGGCGATGAGTTAGTGCATGTCGGTGAGGACTGCCCGGATCACACCAAACCAAAAGAATTGTAATTGTCGATAAAAGTGGTGGAAGTTAAAGGTTGACGATGAAGAAGTCAGAGCTGCAAACTAAGTGGAGACGGCTCCTAAAGGTAGACCAAGGGGATAGTCGAGTGTCTCTGGCCTGACGTATGTACGGATAGCTGGTTGGAGCTTGGTAGGGATGGATGACATTCCTTGGTGTGCGATGCAACTTTGTTCGGAAAGTGACGACTGACGAAATGAACAACAATTCCAACTTCAGCTGAAGTCTGAAGTCAGGCAAGTCTCGGCAGCTCGTGCTTCGCTCCGTTACTTTGGTTCGAAGCGGATTCATGCAGCAAGTGCGAACGATAATGATGAGATTTCGAACGGTTAAGCTCGAAGCTTCAAGGCACATGCCGCGGAAGGGGTAACAGGACACATGTCGAGAGACATGTGGGCAGGCAGTCCTTGTTTAAGAAGCCCTCCGCTACTTAGTTTCGTCCATGACAATTCACCCGATGGGATGGATGGATGGGGGCAAACAAGGGTTCTATTTTTTTCTTCCCCTACGAATACCGTATTACTCCATGTCTTTCCGCCTCCTGAAATGTCTCGCTCTGGAGCCACCAGCCCAAAACGGTAACCTTGTCGACGCCAATACGCAGTAGAGTAGCTGGACTACCAATTGACTTGATGGATCGTCTGCAGCTGGCCGGCCCTTTTTTGAGATGGCGATACCTATTGCCTTGGGGATACAAGCTTGGCACCCATTTGGATTGCGGAATCTCTGCTCCAAAGTCCCAGTCTGGCTAGGGCTGAGGGGGGAAATGGGTCATGTAGGTGTCGAAATCTGGCCCGAATAGCGTACCATGTCGTGTCTGCAGGATGAAGCGACGCCAAATCAAGCAGGTCTGACGGGCTGATGAGCTGAGGTAGCACAGCTGCAGAGCCTGATCAGTGATGGGGGCCGCATTGCAGTAACCTTGCCTTGAGCTGCTTGAATTACCAACCTGGTCATCACAAATAAGGTTAAATGTTAGTGCAGTTTGTGCCGAGTCGCCGAGTCAGCCGTCCACAAGCCATTTCTCACAGTAACGCCGCCAGAAATACTTCTAATACAAGTACTCCGTAGTGTAGAACACTCTGTGACTCCGTCTCCAAGACAAAGAGCCACGTGCTCCGAGTTGGCCCCTTCCACAACGCACCGTTTCTTGTGATCATCTTCTCCTTTCCCTGCTCTCTTCATCGGCATGCCTTCATTCTCACACTGACGCTCCGTGGTCCAGGACGTAGTCCGATTTTCTGTAACGGTCAGGTCCATTATAGCGCAAACTTTCTCGTTTGCTGGCCTCGTCACATATCCTGCGACTACCTCAGAAGCCGCGCATAGATCATCCCGACTTGGCTCTGGTTTCCAGTGGAAAGTTCAAGCGGACTCTTATCCGCGCTCAGTTCCACCACGAGCACATTCTACCCAAGATACATCAACAGAAAGCTTCTGGAACATGTCTTCGCAGCAACTTTTGTTCGAGCAATCCGGTCCGACAGCGCGGTGGACCTCTCTCCCCCACCCATCCATCTCATACAATGCATACTGCGTCTTCCTTCATCGGAGGATACCTGCCTGCGAACCACCACCACAATGCACGGCGCCGAGTGGCTGCCGTTGGGCTAACGTTACCGTCTCTTAGCTGGAGATCCAACAGCTGCATCAAGGCGGAGAACCCTGTTCCTCCATCCTGCCATCCTGGCTCCAACTGCCTCGATTCATTCTTGACCTCTCCCACCGGCTATTCTGGAAGCTTGAGTCGGGGACAATCCTTGTCTGTCAAGAAGCGTCAGGGTCCCATCAGCGTTTGAGAGCCAGCTCATACCGACCATGCCTATCTATTTCCACTGCCTTGTTGAAGCTCGCCGGCGCATTCAAAACACAATTCGTGGCCTGAGCTTCGTGGACAGTCTGGGCTGCTCGATGCTAAAACGTCGTGGAAGCCCATGCACTCTCTTTCACAGACTTGAGCGTTGGTTTACTTCAACCTACCCACCTCACCCGGAATATCTTCTTCGTCCTGGTCTTTTCCCCATTCTCGTCCCCCACTTTGACGTACTGGCAGACTTGCGGTGGGCACACTAACAAGCAAAACGACATCATTTCCTCCTGCAATACGACAACGTTCTCTTATTAGTCTCCATATACAACGTTTCCTCCCCCGCATCTTGATCATCTCCCCCGCTCATCATCCAAGGTCACGCGAACTGTAGTTCATCCTTGGATCAGAGGAACATGAGGACCCGGACAGGCACTTGACCAACCCCTCTCCGGCTCTTTTTATAATGATGCCCTGTCCGCCGAGGGCCAGGCATCGCGACGTCCGGCGGTCGTGACCGCAACCTCGTTGGAAAAACACCTTTCCATAGTCATCATGGCCCTCTTATACGGCCTCGCCTTCGCCGGCCTGGCGGCAGCTAATCTCAGACCCAACTGTCCTCACTTCACCGACTACGCGGCAACGCTTCACGAACCCTTCTCAGAAGGCGTCCATAAGCTAGCCTACCAGCGTCCCCCGCCAGAATGCCGCACGGCCAGTTATCCCGAGGTCGAGAAGACCATCACCGAGATGAAGGCTCTCGTCAAAGATCCGGACCTCTATCGTCTCTTTGAGAACACGTTCCCGAATACTCTTGACACTACCGTCGCTTGGACCGGTGCTGCCGAAGATAATGCAGACGAGGAGCTCAGCTTCATCATCACCGGCGACATCAACGCCGAGTGGCTCCGGGACAGCAGTAATCAGTTGCAGAGCTACCGCTCTCTACTTACACGCAACTCCTCGGCCGGTTCCCTCGCTGCTCTATACCGCGGCGCAATTAACCTCCAAGCTCGCTACGTCCGCTTTGCGCCTCACTGCAATGCCTTCCAACCACCAGCGGAATCCGAAATAGCCCCCACAGACAACGAGGCCGGCGGCGCGTCAGATCACATCTACCCTCAGTACCCGACCTACTCCTTCTTCGAGTGCAAGTACGTGGACCCCCCCCCCCCCTCCTTTGTCCCGGCCCGTCCCTCAGATCCTCGAAGCCCCGTCCAACTAACACGACACATCAAGATACGAGCTAGACTCCCTCGCCGCCTTTCTCCAGCTCTCCCACGACTACCACGCCGCCACGGCGGACAAGGACTTCTTCGCCCGCTTCAACTGGTCCAAAGCCGTCGCCGTCCTCCTCAACACCACAGACGCCCTCCGCACGGGAACCTACGCCGCAGACGGCACCCTCAACCCCTCCCCGGCCCTCTTTGAGCGCCGCGCCGTCTCCGCCTCCGAGACCTTGTCCAACAGCGGCAACGGCGCCCCGACCCAGGCCGGCACGGGAATGGTCCGCAGCTTCTTCCGCCCCAGCGACGACAGCTGCATCTACCAGCTCTTCGTCCCGGCCAACATGATGTTCGCGCGCTACCTCAACTCGTGCGCCGAGATCATGGACGGCATCGACGCCGGCCTCGCCGAACGCATGAGGGAGTCGGCTAAAGTCGTCCGCGAGGGCATCGAGGCGCACGGGAAGACGACGCACCCCAAGTTTGGCGAGATTTACTCGTACGAAGTCGACGGCTTCGGCAGCCACAATATCATGGTCAGTCCCTCCTCCCGACCTCACTTACACCCCCCCCCCCCCCCCCCCCCCACCAAAACCCACCCTACCCTCCTCATCCCCCTCATAACAAACCACCACAAACCCACCAACCCCCCCCCCCCCCCCCCCCCACCCCCCCCCCCCCCCCCCCCCCCCCCCCCCCCCCCCCCCCCCCCCAAAAAAAAAACGCCTTTCTTTGCATTGATCTAATACACAACCCCAGGACGACGCCAACATCCCCTCCCTCCTCTCCGCCCCTCACTACGGCTACCTCTCCGCCTCGGACCCAATCTACCAAAACACCCGCCGCTTCGTCCTCTCCACCTCGAATCCCTACCAGATGCGCGGCCCCGTCCTCAACGCCACCGGCGGCCCCCACATCGGCCCGGGAAACGCCTGGCCCATGGCCCTCATCGCCCAGCTCATGACCTCGGACGACGACGACGAGATCGCCGGCGGTCTGCGCCAGCTCGTCGCCTCCACCGATCGTCTAGGCCTCATTCACGAGTCTGTGAACAGTCACGACGCTTCCAAGTGGACTAGATCATGGTACGTGATTTGTGTTTTTTGTTATTGTTTTTTTTCGCTACGAAAAAGTCGTGGCAAAAACGCTGCGCTTATGCTCCCTCACCCTACCCTGATATAGGACTGGGATTTTGCTAACGAGGCATCTGTAGGTTCGCATGGGCGAATGGTCTCTTTGGACAGATGATGCTGGATCTGAGAGAGAGGAAGCCGCATCTTCTTGAGAGAAGTTATCAGTAGAGCGGTCGAAATGTTGCTACATATGTCATATAGTGCCCATGGTGTTTCATACATATCTTTGGGGTCATGACCGCTAGCAATGTTGCCCCTACATAGTGCTAGTATAGTAGATATGCAAAGAAAGTGCCCATTCAGGGTTGGTATCCCACCCACTGCCATCTACAGACTAAGACTCTATGCCACGTGATAGCATCTTCGCATCGTAAGCCACAAACCTACAGGCCTTTTTGCGGTGCAGTAAAATGATACATTTGCATTTTTGAACACTAGTGATCTGCTCCATCTTCACGTCATAACGTCATGAATGCCCGTCCAGCACACTCTTCTAGGCTATCGCTCGCTCAGCTGAGATCGAAGCCAGCTCCCGAGGAAACCGCATAGAGCAGCTTCTGTCTGAGAGTCTCCTGGTTCTTGTAGCGCGGCAACTTCAGTAAGTTGACACAGGTGCTGGTACTGGGCAGTCTCTCCTGATCCTCCCCTCCATCCCTGATACTGAACCGCGGGCTGAGCTGCGAGAAGCCTAGCAAAGGTGCTCGTGGCGTACTCGTAACGTACTTAAGCACGTCGCGCCGCTCCCGGTCGGAGAAGCTGGCCATGACTTTCCAGAACAGCTGAACCGTGGGGTGCTCCAGTCCGTCGTCCCCAATCTCATACAATCCTGAGTAGACCGTGTTCTGACGCAGATCTTCAATGTCGATTTCGGAGCTGTCGCCTCCCACGAGACGCTGCAACTCGTTTTGATTGAACATTGAAAGCCACGCAGGGGCAATGATCGACCGAAGACCTCGAAGGAAAGCGGCCGTTTGCTGTGCGGATTGGGCAACGAGGCGATGACGAGCAACGTAGGAAATGTAGAGGAGGCGGTTATCGTTGGTAACGGTAACATTCTCACCATTTGGAATCAGATTCCGCGTGACAGTGCGAACAGGTTCCCCTGGCAAAGACACCTGATCATTAAGCGTGAAGTCCAATGCCCAATCCGCAACATTCCCGTGATGGTTCTTGAGGCGCAACATGCCCTGGTACAACTCCTCATCCAGGTCCCTGAGGTCGTTCACATTGCCCCTGTAGCTGTTCTCTCCGGTCTGGCCCGAGATCCATTTCAGGAGGAAGAAGCCAGCAAACGCAATGTCAACCAGAATCCCTTCGTACATGCACTTGCCTACAATCCGGCCGAGGAACTCGAACTGGCGGAGTAGACTCTGGACTTGGTCTTGCCATTCGGCTGAGCGTTCTGGAACTCCAGCTCGTTTCAACACCTGCCTGAGCTCGTCCATTGCAGTCGGGTTGGGGTACAAGAGCCCCTTGCTGTTGGCCGTGAAAAGCGAAATGCCATCCCTTGGCCCGAACGCTTCTGTCGTGACGCTTGTGAGGAACTCTTTAGTAACTCCGCCACCATCGATGCCAGCTTCGACCGTATCGAATTGGTCGACAAACTGGATCTGTATAGGTTCTTTGAGGCCTTCGCCAAGCTCATAGAATTGCTCAAAGGCATCCTTAAACACCTGGCCTCTTCTGATTTTGCCATGATGTCGCCCAGCTGGACTGCGTCCGGGGGAACGCAGAGGATTGTGCAGCATCGTCATTCTCCACTGATCAGCATCCATGCCCTCCCTCCGCTTGTGTTTGTCAAGATAGACGAATTGGCGGAAAATCTGGACACGGGTATCGAATGGAATGACAAATGGCATGTGTCTCAGAATCTCCAATTTTGGCCCGATCACGGCGAGTAGACGATCCCTCTGTGCTTTGCGTTGTTGAGCCCGAAGCTTCTCAATTTGTGCATGCCGTGATACTCGCTGTCCGGCTACGGTGTGAATAATACCGCTGTGCAGCCCGCCCATATTCGCGTCTTCGTCAACCTCGCCGTCTTCGTCGTCACTAGAATCGGAGACTTCGTTCTGTCGTTCTTGTTCAGCGACAACAGCACTGACAAACCCCTCCATATCAAATTTCGATGTCATGAGCCAGTGGTCTCGGGGCAAAAATGGCCGTCGAGAATCTCGTTCGTACAAAAGTCGTAGTGCCGTAGTTACGATGCTACGCAGGCTACCAAGGTCAAGTCTCGTATCAGCCGCATTGGTTCTGGAGTCTTGGCTTCGGGCCTCCTTCGAGGTTTTAGCGGTATTACTACTGCCGCTTCCAAAATACGACTCAAGTTGTGTCATCGAGATCGGCTCGGAATGTTGAATGCCTTGCAAAATGTCCGCGGCATTGTAATGTAGCGTGAAAGCTAAGTGCTTGAGCACAATGGTCAAATTCTTCACTTCGCTGAGAGAAAGTCCGCATGCTCGTAGACGAGACGTTGGCCCCTCAGTTTTGATTATGTCAGGGAAGATACCGCTGAAAAAGTCTTCGTCGTCGCTCAAGCGAAGAATAAAGATGTAGAGCTCGAGGAAAAGAAGGACAAGTCTCCATTCTTGCTCATGCGAGTCACTTGACTTTGACGATTTTGACAAGTAGTCGCGCAGCAGGACTTGTACCGATGCCGAGTTTTGCAAAATCTGCTTGTGAATGGTGGTCTGGCTCATAGCCTGCCAAAGAAACTGGATTGTCGGCAAAGTCCCCAAGCCCGTGCTAACATCTCCTAGGAAGAGGCGCATACGGATATCATCGCCCTGGCTTGGAAAACAACGGAGAAGAGTGAGAATGTACCCGGACAGCAAGCTTGCGCTTTGGAACTCATGACTTGAGGATTGAGAGCCAAAATTACTGGATAATGTAAGCGACTTTCCGAGTGTAGGAAAAGGATTCACTAACGTAGTGAGCTCGGCCAAAAGCGCCGAAATTCCATCTCGGTTGACCAGAGATGTGAGCTGATTGGTGATGTATGCAGGCAGTGGGCGGATCAACGACTCATCCGGGTTGCTAGAATCCACATTCATCGAGGCCGGATCGGCTACTCGAACAGATAGTCGCAAGCTGATTTCTGTGGACAAGCTCGAAAGCTGAATATGCAATGTGTCTAGGTGCTTAAGCCCCTGGCTCTTCGGTCCAGCCCTTTGGTATAAGCCAACGAAATGTGCAAGAAGCCAAAGTTGGGCGTCCCTTTCAACACCGCGTATCCGTCCGTCACTATATATTCTTTTGATGGCTGAGGCGAGTCGATCGGATTCGAGATTTTCGGAAATGACTTTCGAGTGCTCTTCGACAAGATACAGGTCATGACGAGTCAAGAAGGACAGCGCAAATGCCTCGTAAGCGGCCACCAGATACTCATCAGTGGATGCAGCTTGGAGCGGCACGAGGAGAGCTTTCGAAGTCGACTCTAAAGCTGCTGTATCCATCTCCGGTACTCCACATATCTCTGCCAGGGCTATATAGTACTGTCGGAATGATTTAGAAAGCGAATCGGGGGCAACACTTATGATGTGTGTTAGGAGGCTGAGAAAGAGTCGGATCTCGTTGTTTTGACTGCTAGAGGCAGCGTTAGTTGACATCGAGCGTTGTTCGGAGATGGACACCAACGATTTCTTTGTTTGTTCGCCTAGAGCATCCACAAGTATCCGAACAAGACGTGCCAGCCTGGGTGCAGGAAGGTGGCTAGGGGCAAGGCACTCGAGGTTGGTCGTGTTTAGTTCTCTCGCAAAGAGCACCAAGCGTTCAACATCGTCGGGTCGGGTCTGGAAGGTTGTCAACAGCAGTGGCAACGCCGTCGCTAGTCTCTGCTGTGTACCAAGGTCCGAGGTACTCGAGTACAGAGTATCAAAGGCGTCCCGGCGAGAGTCTCGAAGCCGCCTCCTAACCCTGTGACCCCTCCATGTTTTCTGAATCTTCTCGGAGGCTTTCAGCCTGTCTCGGTCCTGCTGTCTCTGTGCCCGTTCGGCTTGGGCATTAGAAACGGTCTTAGAGGCTCCTGAGCCTGCGGCAGGCGTCCATGATGTTGCGGCAAAGGGATTGAGGCTCTGGCCACTGAGGTTCACATTCCGGGGGCGTCGGGAGTTGCCCGTGAAGGTGGGAAACATGTTTCCTCGGAGAAACGATGCCTAGTGAAAGAAGTGAAATGGTAAGGTTGGACCATGTCAAGAAGAAATTCACAGAACCAACAAGCAGGTAGCTGCGAAGGTGGAGGATGAGGAAGTCGCGAGCGCGGTTGACTTCCAGAAGCTTCAGCACGTTCGGATGGGGTGTATGTAATCGAACTGTCACTGGAGGGGGATTCACAGGCTTGGGCATCGGCTCTGGTGGGGTCTACCTTAGTCTCTCGAGGTGCCTGGCTTGGTGAGGTAAGCTGGAGCTGGTCCCAGCGTCAGGTTGTGGAAGGTTCCGATGTGACGCGTGCAGGCACGAGCTTTCTGGCCTGGTGGGTCCTGGGGCCCGGGGACAGCAAGGTCAGGTACGTATCCTACGTTGGATAAGAGAATGGGGGCGGATGAGTCCAAGCGCCGCCCCCCTTGCACCCTGCCATCCGGGGAGGAACACACAAACCGACGTTGACCTAATTGCTGCTAGTTGGCCATAATCATGGTGGACATATCCGATGACATCTTTAAAGATGGATGGGCCCGATGATGAAAGGTCACAACACAAGGCAAGACAGTTGTTGAAAATCAGTAGCATCAACATACGGCTGTCGCAGCAAATGGAAGTCTATCATGGCCGTGTTATGCTTTCAAGACACGGCTGACTCGGATTGCCATCTCTTTACTCGCGCAAATGTCGGTGAAGATGCCAGCCCAGGTGAACCCGGATGAGGAAGGTACACTGCTGTCGAAAGGTTGAAGAGTCGTGCGAAAAGCATCCAAGATGTTCAATGCTCAGGAAAAACTGCAGGAGAGGTATGGTGGTAGACTCTTCTCAAATCAAGATAATCCCAACGGACTCTACGCGCATGAATACCTCTATACAAAACTACAAACATGTTGCACGAGCATTCATCCGGGCTCTGATAATCGTCTGTTCTCTTGATAGACCCCCAAGCATTAGCCAGGAGGAGATGGGCCGCGGTTAACAGGCTCTGGGGCTATACGGAGTACTGGTATAGATATGCAGAAGAAACCCGGCGCCCGCATGTTGGTGGTTCAATTCCAGCCCAAGGGCGAGAGGCTGAGTGCTTCAAGCCGTCTCGCGTGTCTTGGGCTTCAACATTATTAAGGTGCTTCGGTTTCGGGCCCTCAGATTCGTGTCTAAGGCGGCAGCTAACGATTTGATGGAAGTGCCGGCTTTCTTCGTGGGCAATTGTGGCACAGACAAGCGCGTTTAGGTGCCACGTTCCCAGCCACGGCTCTTGGTGCGAAATCGCCCTTGCTTTTTTGGAAATGAGCAATGTCCCTGACGTTGTTTTGTCGCACACCGCAGAAAGAGAGAAGGCCAGCCAAGTGTGACATTCTCATCGATTCTGTCTGCCGTGACTGGCTGTCAGTCAAGGTAGCATGTCGCATTACTCCTCCTTATTATGCCTGAACCTGTTTGTTTCTACCAAAAAGGTGCTCCAGACACCTCCAGATCGGCAATCTTCTTTTTTGTTTGTATTTTCGTCACAGGGTTCGCCGTTGAATCGGAAATGGTCGCATAAATTTCTGACGTTTCTCCACTAAACCAGCTACCTCAACGCTCGTACTTGTGTCGATGCTGGCCTGATGTTCCTATCTGTTATCAGTGAGCTCCTACTACTATTTACGATAGTGACCGAATGACCAGGACTTGAACCGCTTGTACCCCACCTTGCTGGCACATGCCCTGCTCCTGGCGCGGGCTGCCCCTCCCCTCGACAAAATCTGGAAGGCGAGGAGGGACACACAGCATGAGGAGCAGGAGCGCCAAAATCGAGTGGTGGGAAGGCACCACCCTCCACTGCAGGTAGGCAGATCCAGTAAAAAAAAAAAATCATCCCGCGAAAGCCACATTCATTGAAAAATCTCTCCTCTCTCTTCTTCTTTTCTCCGTTACCAACCACACCAAACCCTATCAACAACCCCCTTCACATCTAAAGAGGGTCTGGCAAGGAGTACGTCTTCGTACTTGTTCTCTGTCTCGCTCACTTTTTCCATCAGAAAAAACTTCAAAAAAAAACTTGAAAATCCCCCATCAAAAACTCCCAACTTCCATAACGGAATTCCCCTCCTCAATCGCAAGAAAATCCTAGAGGAATCGTTCACCGAGCCTCTTTTCTTGCTTTTACCTCCGCACCTGCCTGTCAATCTCGCAACAAGTGCCCCTCGTGTGTGTCGGTCAAACGTCACACATCGCCATAACCTCATTCGACGATACAAGGCTCGCCTTCTCCTCTTCTTACTCTTATCCCCTCCGACCACATCGTCTCAGTCTCGTCCAACGACCGATCGTCAGATTTTTTGACTTGGTATGTGCTGTATCCCCTCACATCCCCCCTTCTCCTACCTCACCGTCGACTTCCACCAAAGTGTGCGGCTCGTAAATTGCTACCCCGCCTTCCAAGTCGCGGGCTCATTCCTCCGTCATCTCAACCTGCCTCTAACGTCCACTTGGTGTTGCAGTATCTTTTCCCCTAGTCAATTCTACTACCGATACAATGGCCTCCGCTCCCAACAACGGCGCTGTCGACCAGCTCGCCAACGACCTGGGCAACGCTTCCCTCAACGGCTCTGACTCCAAGGCTGCCCCCGCCATCAACACCAATGTTGAGTCTGCCGCTCAGGGCGACAATGCCGACACCGCGGGCCCTACCCCCAGCTCCGCTGCGCCTCACCCCCAGGCCTCCGCCTCCCTCTACGTTGGCGAGCTCGATCCCTCTGTTACCGAGGCCATGCTTTTCGAACTCTTCTCCCAGATTGGTTCTGTCGCTTCCATTCGTGTCTGCCGTGATGCGGTTACCCGCCGCTCTCTCGGCTACGCCTACGTGAACTACAACACTACCTCCGATGGCGAGAAGGCTCTCGAGGAGCTCAACTACACCCTCATCAAGGGCCGCCCCTGCCGCATCATGTGGTCCCAGCGTGACCCTGCTCTGCGCAAGACTGGCCAGGGCAACGTCTTCATCAAGAACCTCGATGTTGCCATCGACAACAAGGCTCTCCACGACACCTTTGCCGCTTTCGGTAACATCTTGAGCTGCAAGGTCGCCCAGGATGAGAACGGCAACTCCAAGGGCTACGGTTTCGTTCACTACGAGACCGACGAGGCTGCTTCTCAGGCTATCAAGCACGTTAACGGCATGCTTCTCAACGAGAAGAAGGTTTACGTCGGCCACCACATCCCCAAGAAGGACCGCCAGAGCAAGTTCGAGGAGATGAAGGCGAACTTCACCAACATCTACGTCAAGAACATCGCCACCGAGGTCACCGACGATGAGTTCCGCGACCTTTTCGCCGCCTTTGGCGACGTCACCTCTTCCTCGCTTGCCCGCGACCAGGAGGGCAAGAGCCGCGGCTTTGGCTTTGTTAACTTCACTACTCATGAGGCTGCTTCCAAGGCTGTCGACGACCTTAACGGTAAGGACTTCAAGGGACAGGACCTGTACGTCGGCAGAGCGCAGAAGAAGCACGAGCGTGAGGAGGAGCTCCGCAAGTCTTACGAGGCTGCTCGCATGGAGAAGGCCAACAAGTACCAGGGTGTCAATCTGTACATCAAGAACCTCGACGACGAGGTTGACGACGAGAAGCTTCGCCAGCTGTTCGCCGATTTTGGCCCCATTACCTCTGCCAAGGTGATGCGCGACAACGCTACCGACTCTGGCAACGAGGATGAGGGTTCTTCCGAGGAGGCGGACAAGGAGAACAAGAAGGAGGAGGTCAAGGCCGAGGAGAAGGAAGAGGCCGAGAAGACCGAGGAGAAGGAGGACGGCGACAAGAAGAGCGAGAAGAAGTCGGACAAGAAGCCCCATGGTAAGTCCAAGGGCTTCGGCTTCGTCTGCTTCAGCAACCCCGACGACGCAACCAAGGCCGTTGCCGAGATGAACCAGCGCATGGTCAACGGCAAGCCTTTGTACGTCGCTCTTGCTCAGCGCAAGGATGTTCGCAAGAGCCAGCTTGAGGCTAGCATCCAGGCTCGCAACCAACTCCGCATGCAGCAAGCCGCCGCCGCCGCCGGTATGCCCCAGCAGTACATGCAGCCCCCCGTCTTCTACGCCGCGGGCCAGCAACCCGTCTTCCCCCAGGGTGGTCGCGGCATGCCCTTCCCTCAGGGCGGCATGGCCATGCCTCCCGTTCAGGGTGGCCGTCCGGGCCAGTTCCCTGGAGGATACCCCCAGCAGGGCGGACGTGGTGTTCCCCAGCAGATGCCCCCTGTCTACGGCATGCCCGGCTCCTTCCCTCCCGGAGGTGCCTACCCTCAGCCTGGTAACCCGCAATTCATGGCTGCCATCCAGCAGGTGCAGCAGGCTACCATGGGCGGCGGTCGCGGCGGTCCCCAGGGCGGCCGTGGTCCCGTCCCCCAAGGAATGCCCATCCCCGGCGGCCCCGGCATGCCCGGCTTCCCTCCCAACGCTCGCCAGGGTGGTAACCAGCCCGGCGCCGGCCGTGGTGCCAACCCCAACGCTCCCCGCAACGCTCCCTTCCCCCAGGGTGGCCGTGGAGCCCCTGCTCAGGAGCTCAACAGCGGCAGCCTCATCCAGCAGCAGCTTGCTGCCGCTGGCGGTAACCCCGGCCAGCAGAAGCAGATTCTCGGTGAGGTCATCTTCCCCAAGATCCAGGCTATCCAGCCTGAGCTTGCCGGAAAGATCACCGGTATGCTTCTCGAGATGGACAACGCTGAGCTTGTTAACCTGTAAGTTGAAACAACCCCTACGTACACTGATCTCTCACTGACATCTCGCAGCATCGAGGAGGAGTCTGCTCTCAAGGCCAAGGTCGACGAGGCCCTTGGCGTCTACGAGGAGTACATCAAGGCCCAGGGTGGCGAGGAGGGCGAGAAGAAGACCGAGGAGACTAAGGCCTAAGCCATCTCCTCCACATTCACGCAACGTCATGAGCATGATTTCCTTATGTCATCATACCCCTTGTTATTGGGCATCCTTTCTACGAACAGTGAGCATTCAACGACAACGCTCATGAGGTCATTGCTCAACACGGATTGGGAAAAGTTATTTGGAATGAGGCGGCATAATCGACTGCATTTTTTCACGCCAGAGGGATCTTCACGACATGCTTTGCTATGACGGCAGCTCTTTCTGGGGCCTGTCGTCAAATCCTTCGGGGCCTGCATGTGTGGATAGATTTCTCTACTGCTTTCGTAGGCAGAGAGATTGGCGGCTCATCCCTCCCTTGGGTGGCTCCTGTTCTCTTGATCTGCCAGGAAGGCTCGGTGGGATGCGTCATTTGCCACCCAGTATGGTTCTCCAGGAAGGCGTTTTACGGTTGTATGTTTGAGTCGCACGAGCTGCCTGGCTTCGCTCGCTTGCGATGGCACCAATACCCCACACAGAACGGTACTCGTTTCTTCAGGCAAACAGGCAGATGGTGGTTTTGAGGAGGTATGAAGTATCTCCTAATAGAAAGTTCAAAAATACTTGGCGTCCCTATATTGTGAAGATGTCTTAGTGTGCATGAGTGGATCTTTCTCTGATTAGTCCACTTTTGGAATGAGAAGATTGTTCGGTTGCCCGTAATGACAGCCTTAGGTAATGATGGAGGCGTCCCCTTGAGCCTGACGGATCCAACACGAGTGTCAAACTTGAGGTGATGCTCACTCGGTTTTGCCGGGCTTCGTCTGGGAAAATATGACTGAGAATTAGGACCTCATTTCTCGAGTACTCAGGAGGCCATAAGCTATGAGGGTGGGCGGAAGCCATCCTATGTCGACAACGGCGAAGGGGAGAGTGCAGCGCAAAGATTGCTATAAGAATACTTGGAACACGTCGAGGCGAAACCTCACTGGGGTTGAACTTGCATCTGACATGTTGAAACGCAAGATAAACCAGGGTCCAACGTTCACGTCAATGTTGTGTTCAAGAGATAGGCTGTTGACATGACCAACTTTCAAGAATCACGGCTAGGCGCAGTGTGAGGGCTCTTGAGATATCTTGTCATCGTCGACTACTAGGAAAGGTTGGCCTGGCCAAGCCTGCAGAGTAGCGTATTGCGTAAGGAGCTGCTAGTGATGATGCTTTGCCAGTCTTCCAATGCCGGCTTTTAGGTGACAGCAGCTAGTGGGTGGCTTTCGCTCCCATGTATATGGGAAGAGTGATTAGCAAGCATGGCAGCTATTTCCTGCTACGTAACTTTAGTTTGGATGTTTCCCTTCTAAGTCTCTTGGAACTTACCATCATATAAGCCTAGTCACTGTTGAATACACCTGCGATAGCCTTGGATGGATGATCGTACTTGGATGAAAGCGTCAGAGTTGGCATCTCGCGATATGGACTCAGACGAAGAAATCTCGGTAGGGCACTAGCCTTAACATCGTATCCAAGCCAAGCTGCCTCCGAGGGTCGAGGCCGAGAGTCGTTGACCTGAGCTGGGATACAAGCCCTGTTGTGGGAAGAAGGGAGGCACAGTCCCCAGACCTTGAGTAGACGAAGTATACAGGCTATCCGCCTGCGTAGTCTGACGAGAATTGGCAATCGCCATCTGGATTTGCACGTCGACATTCTCAGCCTGTGATGTCCTCCTTCCTGGCCTAGCTTCAAGAATATCGGGGCGACAAATTTCAAAAAAGGCAGACAGGAACTGGAATCTATACGGAAAATTCCGTGTTCACGGCTGGGAAGTCATCTCAACTTGAAGGAAGTCGACGATGGATTTTCATATCAACGTGAGGATAGAGTACCTGAAAAGCGCCACTTGTGATGTGAGAAAAATATCTTATAGCTTCACTCACATCACGTATGAGGTGAGACATCCTTCTCGCAGATGGCCCGTCCGTAGCCGCGACGTAATGGCCAGACAATGATTTGTGGCGAGAACACTCTAATCTAATTACTCTGGATGTTGCTGACCATTCCAAGGATCTTGGCTTCTTATGTCGAGTTCCGCGGACGCCTGTCAAGCGTACGATTGAGAATAACAGTAAATAGTAGCTACCATGCTCGTCGCAGGCTTCACTTCATTCCTCAACCTCACAATGAGTTGATGTACTCGTTTGGGTAACGCTTTTCTAGGCCAGGTTATATCACTGAACAAGTCCCCTACCAGAACGATAGGCGGATGGTGGCGAGGATAGAAACATTCATGGCATGTGCAGAGAACTTACAGATAATGGCAATGTTCCTCATTCAATTTGGCCACATCCTAATAGCAGAAGTTGATCGAATGTCGTCCACCTTGACAAAACTAGTGTGAGTTGTCAACAGTGATAGGACTCCAGTTCAAGCTTCACAGAAAGCGCACTACAAATGGGGAAAAAAAAAAAGCCAGCAGGGCTACGAATCTTGCAAAGGTTGTAGATCTTGAACCACCTAGACCAAACCAATAACACATGTATCGACAATCAACGATGGCGTGTACCCTTTTCGGGCCTCTCGCCGTGAACGTGGTCGGCAGGCCGGATGGAGCAGGTCAAGTGCGGGGCCCGCATCTCCACCCATGACCACGGAACCAACCAGCCAGCCAGCCAACAAGCCTGACCCTAAGCTTGTTAAGCAGCTTACGCGCTCCGCTCCTCCAACCCACCGAGCGAGGATCCAGTCCTCGAATCTCCCCTTGGTGTAGTTGGTTCATCACGTTCGACTGTAATGGTTACATTGTCATCGAAAGGTCTCTAGTTCGATTCTGGAAGGGGAGAACCGTCTCTTTTGCCTATTTCTTCTTTTTTTGTTCTTCGGTGTTATGGATACGCAATATGCATTGCTGTTGAGATGGACAGTGTTTTTTTTTTTTTTTTTTCGAGAGAAAGATTTTGTTCCTGGTGAGGAGGCAAGGCTCGGGATTGTGGATAGGTACCAAGGTATCAACCAGGCCCCTTATCTATCTACCGCTCTGGACACCAAAGCAGTGAAGATTCAGAGTCAGCTACGGACATTTGAGAAGCTGTGAGAATCAAAGGCGCTATTGAATGGCATCAAAGGAAAGATTTCGAATCAACTACATACATTGTGTAGACATGCAGACACCATATGCAACGCGATGACATTTAGGCTTTCACGATTGTAAGCTTGAGTTTCATCGCAAGTGCACAGGAAGTTTACTCTGACAAAAAGGACAAAAAGGACAAAAAGAGATGGGATCAAAGTCCACGGTAACTTGGTCATATGGAACAGCAGGGGCTGGAGGGTATCTACATAACCAATGAGTGGCTGCCCTGCAACGACAAACTTCATGTCGCTAGCAACTGAGCGCGAACTTCACGATCCATATAACGGCCTTCCAATCCAAAGAAAACAAGGCAAAAACATGCCCAGATCGTCATAGAGGAGAGAATGTTCAAGATATGCTACCAAAAACAAAAGATTGATTTCGCCCGGACTTGAACCGGAGACCTTCAGTGTGTTAGACTGACGTGATAACCAACTACACCACGAAACCTGATTGGATACTGAGACAAGGGGACAAGACAGTTTGAGAAGGGCTGTTGCCCCGTCAGCGCTCGAGAGCAGCAGCATTGTCAGGAGTCGACGTCAACGTACAAGAGACAGAGACAGTCGTGGTTGTCTTAAGCAACATTTCTGCCTGTAATTGGCACGCAAGAGGCAAGAAACCGAAATGTCCAGGTGACGTCGTTTTCCCCTTGGCCATTCAAACTCTCAGATATGAAGCATCTCCAGGACAGCCTCCAGCCGGAAACCAAGACCCTTCACCATTTACATCCTCAAAACCACACTTCAGCTGCCCAGGCCGGCAAGATTCCGAACATATGGATAAACTCCAATCTCTCATTATGGATACCTCTCATTCGAAAATCCATAATCCTTTACATCGGTGAATAGCATAGCGTCCCCCACCCAGAGAAAAATTCGAATCTCATCCATCTCGGGCACGTCCCATCAAGAAAGACTCTTCACCACGCAGCCCCACCCATTCCAGCAGTAGCGATCCCCAAGTCTATAAAATATCGTCCTCCCGCCGCAGCTTTTAGGAATTTTCTTCTTCTTTTTTCTTCATGTCGACAATACTTCAGAGAATCATTTCTATAGTATTCGACCTACTCTTGGTTCCCTAAAGGAGCTACAGATCCCACCCTGGTTGATGATTGATATCCTCGATACCCTAGAGTGATAAACTCTTGGTTGTTCTCGAACCCTCCGCGAGGAGGGCGGGCCTTCGGGCTTGTATAGAGAACGGTGATGATCTCGTCCCCTGTTCGCGGTCTTGCCCTTGGGCGCGCGGGAGGGGTGGGCATCGATGGACGTCTGACAGGCTCTGTTTTTCTCTTTTTTTCATTACGTGCTGGAGCATGACTCTGGTCGTGAAGAAGAAGATTCTCGTGTTTTTGATAGGAGGAAAGGATTGATTCGAAGATTGTCAAGACGTTCATAGGTCAATTGTATTTCATACGCCTAAAATCCAGAACCATTCTGTTGATATACAACCAGGCCCAAAAATGCTCTAACTAAAATACAAGTTTCATCATCAATCTTTAAGACCCCGTCGCGACATCACCCATTTATTCGGCAACCCAGACGGCGCTCATGCCCATACCGGTACCGATACACATAGACGTGTTGCCAATCTTCTTACCCGTCCGCTTGAGCTCGTACAGCAGCGTCGAGATCTGCCTCGCGCCAGTGCAGCCTAGCGGGTGACCGAAAGCAATGGCGCCGCCCTTGGGGTTGACCTTTTCGAACGGGATGCCGAGCTGCTCGGCGCTCCACAAGCACTGCGACGCGAACGCCTCGTTGATCTCGTAGATGTCGACATCCTCGGTCGCGATGCCGGCCTTGGCGTTGGCGACGGGAATGGCCTTGGCGGGACCCTGGCCCATGAGCAGCGGCGGCAGGCCGACGATGGCGGCGGAGACGAACTTGCCGAGGATGGGCTGGCCGAGGCGCTCGGCGGTCGAGCG